AATTTTAGTTTTGTGAATTTTTATAACGAGCTCCTCATTAGCTTCTCATTTACATACAGAAATTCCCCTTGTGACGTATGAAGGGGAACTTGCTGGGCAGCTTGCATTGCCGATACGTGTATATAAAGCACATTTCTTGTACAGTTTTCTCATCTTTGACTAAATTGCACTTATGTACTTGTTCCTCGAAGACGAATGGACCATGATGAACACATAGTATCAACTTTGTCACATAGGGTTGAGTCAGATGTGAAATGTGTCCTTTCTGGCGTAGCTGGTCACCATAATTGTCATCGTCACTGGCTCATGTTTGTACACTGTCGATGGACCCCTGCACTGGCCAACATTTGAGTTGGTAAGAAGTGGTAACAGAGGTGTGAATTCAACATTCAACACTAATCACCGAACAACTCAGAAACTTTCAGCCTGCGAAAATGAAAACAATTAGCAGTGTGCAAAGGCAGCATAATTTCCTGTTTGTCTGGCGCTTCGTTTTCGCGGTCACTATCGAAATTATTGCTACCTTTTACATAACACAAACTAAACAGTCTCTATAAAGCGATATTCAGGATCGCAAAACAAGTCAGATCATTTGAAACACTTGCCCAACGTCTGTCTCTCTTCTGAAATCCGCCTCGGTGAACACGGGTGGACTGGAATCTATTTCTTTCAAAAGTGTTGGTATTGCACCAGGTTTAAGTTGTCGGCACTTCTTTTTCAAACCTAGTTGTTTTTTCATGGACGAGGACAGTTTTTTGAAAAAAGAAAATGAGGTGAAGTGGACACTGCATATGACGCTGTAAAGAGGAGGTCCATCCCAACCTTTTTTCGTTGCTTTCACGGCTTTTGTCCACTGACGCCGCACCTTCAGATTGATTGGAAACATGTGAATACTTACACTATGGCTATATGTATTACTGCAACCGTCCACAATGCGTTTAACCATCATAAATGTTTGTTGTGAAAGCAACTTCTAAAATCTTTCTCTCTCAAAAAAAAAAAATAGACAAAATAAACGCCAATGCAGTGTTATATAAGTGACACAATGTTATACAAGTATGGCTCAGGACTTCCTCTCATATTTTGGCAATTGGTGGCGCACTTTCGACAAGAGTCTGAAAACCGGAAACAGTCGATCGATTCAGGATAGGTGGGTGTGGCTACAGCACGACAAATATCTCAAATTTACTTTGATATGAGTAATCATTTTCAGCAACACTGCCCATTTCAGTGGGACACAGATCTGAAATGGGAAACGTGTGGGTGGGCATTTCACAGGCGGTTTAATGTTTAAAAAATATATGGTCATGGAACTAAGTTTTCCACGAATATATTAATTATTGTTTGAGTAGTTTACAATTAGTTTCTATAGCAGAAACATATATCCCAAGATTTGGGAAAATTTTCCAAAATGGCCATTTTTTCGATTATTTTACTTATGATTTCTTGAAAACACATGTGTATCATCATGTTTTGAATGATTTACCATGATAATTTTTTTTCTATTTTAATGGTAGCAAACTACCTCAACACTGTAAAAGTTGTACTCCATAACCTGTTACCAACACTAGACTAGTTTGAATCCTATACCATTGACCTGCATAAAACGATGTGTCCATTTGATTGGTTGAATTATTAATAAGTTCTCTATTTGAATGGAATTGAGTAAACAAATGTACATATAGCTAAGCACGTGTTCTTTCTAGATTCACTGACATGGATATATCATAACAGAAATATTAGAGTATCCTGCATGAACAAAGGAATAGTAATGTTGGCCTTTGATCTGCCATAATATGATCTCAAAGTTCATCCTGTTGCTTACAACATGCACAACTTGTTTGTGATTGGCTGTAATTCACAGAACAAAATTTACACAAATAT